ACTACCTTGTTCGCAAAAAAAAAAAACGGTTTCCAAGTTGTTTTCATAGATTTATTGGTTGCTTTGTTTGGAGTAAAGATCCACGCCTCCCTTGTGGAGTTTTCAGAAGGAACAACCAATTCTAGTGGCCTGATGTATGATGGTACGCCCCTTCAGGAACCAGGTTCCAACAGAAGGCGGCAACCTACTGACACGCTGGATCCAGTCAGTAGCGACTCTAACGGAGACTAATCAGCGACTACAACGTTTCAGTTCGTCAGAGGTTTGTAGCAGTAGAGGACAGTTCAACAAAAAGAGGTATCAACTCAGTCCTCAGTGAGAAAATTTCGCTGGTTAGGAACTTAAAAAAGTTTGAGCTCCTTAGAAGTATGAAGTAGGCCGAAGTGAACCGTTGCTCACTGTGAAGCTGCAGCTGTCCAAAACGTGTTTACAAATTTGCAGAAATGTCCATAAAAAGCCGTTTTAAAAGGTCCCTTCTCGTCATGAGCCCTGTCCCCTTTCCAATTAATCTCCAACCGTTTTAGCTGGATATATTGTGAAAATATTAACCGTTGCAAACTCTAACTACTCCTCTTTTCTTTTGTAATGGACAAAAGCCACCCTCAGTGGATCCATTCCAACTTGGGACAGCAAGTTCCAATTACGAATAACCACTCGTAGACAACTTCATTCATAATGAGGATAATGGGCTGAATGCGTAATGAAGTCGAACCCTTGACATAGTTCTTTGGACAAGTTCGTCGGTCGTTTTGCAACAGATGAATGAGTTCCGAATCGATCATAGGTGAAAGAAACGAAATTAAGGCCATGCAACGATACATTAACATCATTGCGGTCAAGAAAATTTTCGTCAATGGATCATTGATAACATAGTGATTGCGATGAGAAGTTCCAGTTAAACTCCTTTTTCCGGTGGAAGTGATTAAATTCAATTCCAGCCTCTTCTGTCTACTGGTAAAGAAAAGCTACAGCTTTGATCAATGGATTGTCTTCAAGACTCGACGCATGCGCACAGCTTTTTTCCAGATTTCTCAGGAATGTGATGGTTTCGATTGTAAAGACAATTAGATTGAACAACATGTGCACATCTGCCACTCAAAACCAGCAATGAATGCTGAGGCTTCGGAAAAGCGAGGCAAAGAAATCCAGTAAAACTGAAAAGAGACCATCAAATGTCAAGGATCGCTTTGATCAGTCCCGTTTCTGGGATGCGCCCACACATTCCCCTTCCACCCCGAATGTCAGAGGCGTTTTGATTACTGGTATGGTCTATACAATGGCAACAGATGTACAAGCCAGGGTGCTTTACACTCCCAGGCGTCTCCGGTACCAGTCAACCGGATCATGGGAGCCCCACGGTTGAATTCGGTGGGTATCGATGAACAGATCATCCACTTTATATTCCCAGAGTAATACTAGCTTCATTTTTTACTTTTTACTCCAATTATGCCTATTTATTGCCCGAGTTTCTTAGCTTGGTTATATCTCCAGCCTACCTATACCTTTCCCACCCTATTCCCACCCCGCGCTTCCCCTTCCAAGCCCTTTTCCACT